GTCATAATGCTGCACTCCTGGTTGATTAGGACTGGAAGCTTCACCTTTGCTGATTCTTCCAAAGACCCTAGCAAGCCCAAAGCAGGGCAAAACGGGAGAGTTCTTTGATTTCATTTCTTCCTGCCACAAACTGAAACATGCACGGTGTGCTACCAGTCACTCTCTTCCCATATTCAATCATCACTGTAACAGTCTTTCAAAATAAACACATTGAAATGAGTTTGCTCAAGGGAAAGAAGCAATGAAGATTGCTTAGATGCTTTTTAAACCGAGCTAAGGGAATTATGAGAAAGATGCAAGAATGGGAAAACAGGCAGTAAATCCTACCGTGAAGCTGTTGTTGACATTCTTAGTGCTAGATTCTGCCACGCTGGCATCTGTCAGGTCCACCTCATCGAAAATAATGGACTGGAAAGGAAAAATGCAAAGCTCTAATGAACTAGTGAAAGCAGGGTATAAGCAGCTGACCTCAAGGACATGTTGGTGTGTCTGTGTAGCATGCTCCAGCAAAGCCTACTGTGATCTGAAGGAAACGCTCAGCACTGATGACTCAGGAGCCTAGTTCTGTATCCTGGCACTCCTATTTGCTTCTGCCTCCTCTTGGGGACACAGTGATTTTATATTTACTACGGGACTACTTCTAAAAATAATTTTGTGGGCTTGGTTCTTGCAAAAGGAGCCAGACTGATATCCAGTCTGGCTAGTAGGATGTCCATCAAGGCACTAGCCCTGATGTAGGGTAGCTCTGACTTCGAAATTCTCGCCTTCCTTGCCCTACCATGCCCTGTTTTCATTTTCTCCTTCTATTTCAGTTTCTACTGCTTGAGAGCAGTTCTACCGCTTCAGAGTATTCCCTAAGAAAACAAATTGGGAAGGGGGGGAAAAAAGAAAGCATAGAACAATTAGTATAACAGGTCCACACAATGTTTTACTGAAAGATCAAGGTGGTGTAAAATGCAGAGAACCTCTAAGTGATAAAGCCTGAAGACAGGAGCTTCCAGAGCATTTGCTTTTCTTCTGGACTGAGCTCTGCTTTCTCAGAGGCCAAACTGCCTCTAACGACCCAACACTGACTCTCATCCCCGGGCTCACGCGCGTCGTCGCGTCCTCACCTTGGCAGTTTTTGCATAGTAGAGCGTCCGTCCGCGCAGCTTGAAGTAGCGTCTCTTCCAGCGCTGGAAGGAGCTCGTCTGCTTCATCAGCATCCCCTCTTTTATGATAGTCTGCAAAACAAGCAGGGGAGAAGAGTGAAGTAGGAACTTTGCTTTCAGGAATCTCTTCCTCGTATCAAAAAAGGCTGGAGTTTGAGAACAATAATCCGAGTGCCCTCTGCTGGAAGCACTTAACAAATCCATTCAAATTAGCAGGCAAGCTTATCGAGATTAAATCACCGCAACACACAACCCACACTGGAGTGGGGTTTGATCCTCATCTCCACTGCCAGAGAGATATGAGAGCATAAGTAACTGTTTGAGTGAGCCTCTCCAAGTGCAGTGCCGATGCAGGGAGCGTCACAGTGAAACTCCCGGAGTTCTCGCTCCGGGCGCAGGCAATCCTGCCTGTCACTTCCGCAGCCTTGGACTCCCAGCACACACAGCCCGGTCTCCGGCTCTGCTCTGGGAATTTAGCAGCATCTACCTGGCACAAAACCGAGCGGCAGGCACACGGGGTGACAAGCGAAACCAGAGGAGGCAGGAACTAGATGCAACTTCAGCATTTGGTCTTCTTCAGATAGTCTTGGCCCTGCCTCAGTACTCTCTGGCAGGCTGCCATTTCCCAGGGTTGGAGTGCCAAAACTGTCTACGCACACTGCCTTTTTTCTTTTCTTTTCTTTTCTTTCCTTTTTTTTTTTTTTTACCGCTTTAGGACTAGATTGACATACCAGCATATGCAGTCCCAGATGCTCCCTCACATACTATGCATACATCGGGGGATATATTTAATCCACACGCACTTCATCCTATTTCGTCAAATACATTGTATTAATACTGCTGCTGAGGACAGATACTGAACACCAACAGCTACAGCAGGATAATCTCAAAGAGCTGCAGCTTGGATGGACAAGCTGCAAAGGATTTGGAGCTGATGGTTCAACCCCAAATTACCACCTGAATCTATTGCTAAGAACAGCAGTGGCGATACGTGATGTCCACGGATTTCAAGAAAAATCCTCCCAAGAAACCCCGTCTCCACAGAGGCAGTCCCATGGACAAACACACAGTTAAAACACAGCGAACAAGTGGCCCGACAACCCTGCAAGACAGGTTATTCGGTATCTCAATGCCAGCAAAACGAGACAGCTTTAACGTACTAGAGGTCTCAGTGCAGCTCAGGTTCACAACAGAGCCAGGTCAACTGATGAGTATCAGCTAATTCACAAACAGCATTACACACACACTGCCAGGCTACTGCACAGCACAAAATAAATGCTCTTACAGATCCAAAGGGTTTAGGTTGTTTTAGAAATCCTTTCCAGGGCACTAAACTTGCTTTTAAAATGCTATATATATTTCTAATGTGGGTCTTTCCCTTTTTGAAACAGCTGCAGATTTTAATACTTTCCACACGCACTGGTCCTTGCCAAGCTCTAAGTTTCCTCAAAAAGCACTTGGAAAGAAAGTGCTAGTTGTAAGGAGAAACATCCGTCTGACAGGACGTGCCCCTTGCTCGGCTGAGCATCTTCACGCTGGCCTGACTGATGGCAGGGCCTGCAGCAGCAAGGGACACTAGCCCTGAAAAAGATGGATGCAAACCTATGGAGACATATCTACCTTCCTCTCCTGGGTGGGAAGAGTGGAGAGCAGGAGCTTCCACATCTCCTAGAAAAATAATCTAGTTCACTATGAAGCCTGGGACACCCGGCCCTTTCCAAGGCTAGCGAACCCCAAACGTTGCTGTTTCACCCTGCTCCTCCCATCTCACCCATCAGTTTGCAGGTAAACACCAACTTGGTACGTCTGGCTCAACCAGGAATCGCAGAATTTCACAGCGTCTTTAAAAGAATTAAAAGAGATTAAGAAAATGTGTGACTGAAAAATAAGCTCATAACAAAAACAACCATCTCCCGCATTAGCTCCCCACACCTCGGGGTTTTGGGATCCATTTTCCATGAGCCCCAGCAGGGACAGGGCTTTAGGAATATGCTCTTCAGAGCCATGCATGGCATCTGGGAGGGACTTTAGTGTCCGGAAGTAAAACACGACATGGAGAGGTTCCATGCAAGGTAACCCGGAGCTGGGTATGGCGCCATGCAAGGATCTGCAACTCGGCTACAACCTCAACCTGCAGCTTCCCAGTGAGAGAAGATGGAGAATCCGAGTGACCCAGCAGTGTCCCCCACTGAACCAAACGCCAAGGGCAGGGTTGAGGGCCCTCACCTGGGCCTGAGGAACGTGCACACAGGCATGAGATCCCCCCAGACCACCTGCGCTCTCTGCAGCTCTGCTTCCCAACGGCAGAATGGAGCAGGCTGCACTGCCAGCTCTGTGGCAGCCTATATGTAAGTGCATGTACAGCCCGTCTGATGAGTTGCTTTAAACTCCAGCACCTGTGTATCTAAGATACAGGTAAAGCAGCAGCACACAAATTCCTTGGCTGCAGAAATGATGCATTTCTGCTGCTCACTTCAGCCCGAGGGGACGGAAGTGGGAAAGTGGCAAGAGATTTTCCAGACGAAGCCAGCAACATGGCGGGATCTCTTTGCATTCCTTGGACAAACACACATATCATTAAAAAATGAGACGGAGAAACTAGCTATTGAATCTGCAAAGCCCCGAACAGAGGCACTGAACCTCCTGAGGAAGGTTCCCCAGAGGCAAAGCCCACAGATACCAGGTGAGCCAAGACCCCCCAAAAGGGCAGCTCGCCCGAAGGCGCCCCGGGGGATGCTGCAGAACATGCTTAGCCAAGGGAACACTCCAGCAGCTCCAGCAGCAGCACTCGGGCTGCCTCAGCTCCCGCCCAGCCCAGCGAC